TCCTGATAATTGCTTGTTGGTGATGTGGGGCTACACTCTCCACTCCCACTCCCACCCCCACATATTTTTTAGTAAAAAATTAGAAAAATTAGAAAATTAACAAAGAATTAGAAAAATAACAAAGAGGCATGAGCCAGCATAGGTGGCCAATGTGAAATTATTGTAGAGTAAGTCATTCCTACAGGAATATTTTTGTTTTATAATGTGGTTTCCCAATTCGTGTTAGGCTCAGAAATCTTACTGTGCTGTCAAAATTGGGAAAGTTAATATAGGTATTATTTGTGGACTGAATAATCAAGTGAATGAATGAATGGATGGTATTATAAAACAGAACATCTGATACATTGTTAAATCCTTTAAATGGTATAGAAGTAGAATTAGTCTAAGATCATTTTTTTTATTGAGGTGTAGTTGACATTGTTACATTATGTCAGGTGTACAATGTTACATTAGTTTCAGGTATACAACATAGTGATTTGACAAGTCTGTATATTATGCTATGCTCACCACAAGTGTAGCTACCATCAAAGAAGGTCATTTTCAAAACCATTCAAGTCACTTTTTTTCCATAAGAAAGTGAATTTTTACTCTTGCCTTAATTCTTAAGTTCCAAATAAAATAAAGAGCAGGCTGTGTGCTGTTTGACCAGAGCTCTGGTTCCATTTCTCCACCTGTGTCTCAGTTTCACTTTTTTGGGTCTGGGACTTGATTTCACCCTCCTTGCAAGCTATTAAGTTAGCCTGCTACTGTTTCGTGGATGCCAGAAGAAGACATGAGATTCTATGGTCAGAGACAACTTTCTTACACAAGGTACAGCATAAATACACAAGGTATATCAGTGTATTTCCAAGTTTATCTTGCCTCAAACTCCATAGGGTTTATAAGATATTACCCAGATGGATACTACATACCCAGTGGATTTCCATAACAGCTAAGGTACACTAGGCCTAGTGAATCCATTGCTCTTATTTTATTTTACTTTTTGCTTGCAATCAGCTAGCAAACTTACTTTTGTCCCACATTGAGATATTACCACATCCATCAAGGTTGCTTGCTACAAAAACAAGCCTGAGAAATAGCTCAGGAAAAGAAGCATTAGGACCTTGAATTCTGACACATTCAGAAGGACATCTAGGAGCACTAGAGACCCATGGAAGACTCCCTCTCCCAATATGCGTTGTGGTGGTTTCACCCTCACGCTGGCTTTCCCCACTGGCTGTTATCAGTATCCGTGGGGTGAACGATATTGTCCCTGACAGCTATCTGGAAGAGTCTTAAGCTTCCCTGTGTTTGGACCATATATGAATTAATCACTGGAGCTGGGTAATGTCCTTGACTTGGGCCTAGGTTGTATATCCATTCCTGAACTAATCTCTGTATTAAGGAGGAGAGATTACTCTGACTGTCTAAAATCAACCAACTTATCCATGCTGTTGGGGTCAGAGGATCAATTTTACCCAACACAGTAGTTACTGCCCAATGGCGGAAAGGCAAAATGTTAGGGAGACTGTCACTAAATATTCCACACAGTCTTTAAGTAGTATAATTGAAGAATTTTGCTCTATTTCTGATTTTCCCAAGTCAAATGAAGCGAGAAAAGGGAAAGAAATTAGAACTCTTTGGTTTTCTTTTCTATACCTTTATTCTGGGAAATCTTAGCTAGCCTCTCATTCTACTCATATTAACTGAGCACCAATTAGTAGTCAAGAATTGTATTGGACCTGGGGAGACAAATTCAAGTAAATTGGAAACATCTGCTAATCTCACAGGGTTAATCAGCTAGTGTTGGATTCAGACAATTTAAGAGACCATTTGAATGAGCGAGAAAGTGCAGAGTGATGGCAGCACATGGAAGGAACACCTGACCTGGACAAGGGGGCAGGACAGGATGGTTAGGAAAGCCTCCTGGGAGAGCGTGACATGTAAGCTGAGACCAGAAGGCTGAGTAGGGATTATCAGGTGATCTCTGTGTGGGGAGGACGAGATAGCTTGGAAGCATGACCTAGCAGATGGAGCAGCGGATCATGTTAAAGAAAGTAAAAGTAGTTCCGTGTGTTGAATCATAAAATTCAAGGCGGGAGATGAGGTTGGAGAAGAAGCAAGGAGTGGGAGGCGGAACGTATTCTCTAGGTAAAGGAGTCTTCACCATTCTGAAAGTCCTTGAAGACTTGAAATGGAAAAAAATAAATATGATAAATATTGCGTTTTAGGAATGTCATCCTGGCTGTAAAGTCAAAAATGAATTGAGGGTGGAAACAAAGCTGGGACAGACGAGTTAGGAGATTGTTGAAATCAAGGCCAGAGACAGAAGTAATCACATGAGTGGAATTGGAGTAAAGAGGCAGATTTGCAATCTATTTAGAAGTTGAATCCATATGCCTTTTTTTTTTTTAAGATTTTATTTTTTTATTTCAGAGAGAGAGAGAACACAAGCAGGGGGGTGAGGCAGAGGGAGAAGCAGACTCCTCACTGAGCAGGGAGCCCAACGTGGGGCTCGATCCCAGGACCCTGGGATCATGACCTGAGCAGAGGGCAGACGCTTAACCGACTGAGCCACCCTGGTGCCCCTGGATCCATACGTAACTGGACACAGGAGAACAGCATTAGGGAGTACATAAGGCCTGGAGACAGAATAGCAATGATAAGAACCGGTATATTAAATTCAGGCAGGCAAAAGTTCAAATCTCTACCACTTAGAATCTAAGGCTGAGTTAATTACCAGTAAAAGGGAGACACTAAAGATCAAGTACCTAACATGGTTACTTTGAGGATGAATAAAACATTATACGTCAAGTTCCTGACACTAAGTAAACCCATAGAGAGGGTGTAAAGTGAGAAAAGTAAATAGACCAGAACATAGCCCTGGAAGACAACACATACATTCAAAAACTGACTAGAAGCTGAGGACTTCCAAATGTGAGAGAAGAGTGGCTAGGGAGGCAAGAGGAGAGGGCATGTTTTGTATCCTAGAATAGAAGCCTAAGAGAGAAGACAATCAAAGGAGGACATGGCCAATAATCTCAAGTGCTCACAAAAGCAGGGAGGTAATAAGTGACCTTGCTGAGAGCTTTTCCTGTTGTGGGGATAAAAGCTAGACTGGACTGGGTTTAGGAGCACAAAGACAGGCAGAAGCGGAAAGAACAATTGTAAAAAGTTCTTTTTCTTCTTTTATTTTATTTTAAGATTTTCTTTATTTGTCAGTGAGAGAGCACAAGCAGGGGGAGCAGCAGAGGCAGAGGGAGAAGCAGGCTCCCCGCGGAGTAGGGAGCAGGAAGTGAGGCTCCATCCCGGGACCCCCGAGATCATGACCTGAGCAGAAGGCAGACACTTAACCGACTGAGCCACCCGGGCGTCCCTGAAGTTTTTTTTCTTTTGTTCTGAATTCATACTTTAGGATGTTACTTATAAAATTCTTATTTTTCAAAGAAAGATGGGGGGTACAGGCAAATTCACCTTTTGGGAGAGAATCAAACTTGAGATGCATGTCTGGTCTCCATGCCCTTCAAAGGCTGTCTCTGAGCGCTGCCAGTAACTGAGTGACCATCTCACCCCAGTGAGAAGGCACAAACAAAATGACTCGACACGTTTGGCTTCTGGGCAGTGAAGCTGTGTGAAGGTTCACTGCAGAGTGCTTCCTAGTACTGAAACAGGCAGAGTGTCTGCAAGTCAGTTTTGTCTGGTACCACGTGTAACATGAATTAACTTGTCCAAGCTTTTCATTATTTGTTATGTTTTTATATGGATGAATGTCATGGAAAATAAAAATATTATGGAAGAATAAAAATGTTCTATTTGTACAATTTTTGGTGGATGGTATTCAGATTTAAAACAAAGTATTTTGGACCACGTATAAAATAAACTTTTATTTTGGGCCACCCAGACTCAGAGCACTGTGATGAGGGACTATAAAAATAAGAAACTTGTAGGTGACATTGTATGTAGTTGGCTGACTATTTTGGTTCAAGAAATTTCATTCCTGCTGAGAAAGGAAGAAAATGAAACACTTATTTAAATTTAAAATACTCCAGACCATGCAAGAGATATAGTCAAAAGAATGTAGTTTCCAGGGGGAAATTCTTTTCTTCTCCTCTTCCTCTTTCCTCTCCTCCCGCTCCTCAACTCTAAAATATATACACCTATCTCATAGTTCAAAAAAGTACTTTTCAGAGTGGGAGGTTAAAAAAAAAGACAAATGTTTTGCTTTCTTTTATTTCCTCTTCTTATGGAATTAGTAGAAGTTTAGAAAAATAATAATAATTTCACCCTCTTCAACTCCCTTTTGTCTGTTTCAATCATCACTGTGGTCAGTCTCAAAACGTTCATTTGAGAGAATCAAATTGTCTAGTAGTTGAATTTTCAGAGCTCATATTTTAGGATGTTACTTCTGGCCTGGTGATTAAAACCTTCACGTGTTCTCTACTAGTCATAGGATTATTAAATGAAAGTTTTTCAATCATTCTTTTTTTTTTTTAAAGATTTTATTTATTTATCAGAGAGAGACACAGAGAGAGGGGACACAAGCAGGGGGAGCAGGAGAGGGAGAAGCAGGCTCTCCGCGGAGCAGGGAGCCCGATACAGGACTCGATCCCAGGACCCCGGGATCATGACCTGAGCAGAAGGCAGACGCTTAACGACTGAGCCACCCAGGCGCCCCTCAATCATTCAAGTGCTGGCGCTTAAATCAGTTAGTGCTAGAGAACTTTTGCTTTCCCGCTCCCATCTAGCCCCAAATGAGGACCTTCTCCTCCGAACGAGTCTCTTTCCTTTGCCTGAAGTGGGCTGAGCAAAGGAGCGTGACGCAAAAGTGGGCTGTGTCCTTGATGCTAGGGAGCGCCTCTGCCTCCTTGTGAATGCGGCCCGCGGCCGCTGCAGCAGCTGAGGCTCTGCGCTCCCCAATCCTGCCTCCTGGGCGGGCGCCTGGAGCTAAGTACACATCTCAACGGCACCGAAGCCTCCTCTGTCTTTTCAAGCTCTTCATGCTACCCAACTAAAAGGAGAAAATGGGCACGGGGGATTTTATCTGCATTTCCATGACCGGAGGGGCGCCCTGGGGGTTCAGATTGCAAGGTGGCAAGGAGCAGAAGCAGCCCTTACAAGTTGCTAAGGTAGGACCACCAAAGAGGTGCCGCTATCACCGCTCTGGGCTGGGAAGGAATGAGAGCAACCTGTTGATGGTTTTTTTCCAAGCTGTGATTCAGGAGTTTATGTATTACTTTGATTTTGGCGCCGATGTTAAATTTTTCTAGGATGCGGGTTTGTTCATGTTGCAAAAAAAAACTGGAGTAATGTATAGCGTATATGTAATTAACCAGTAATTGATAGAAAGAAAAAAAAGTGCCGTATTTATCAGCTGAATAATAGCCTAGTTAATCAGCTTCTCTGACAACCAGCAAGACACTTGGGACGTTTCTTCTAGGCAATGTTAGAATATGCAGTTATTGTTTCATGTTACTTTACTTGGTTTTGGCAGAAGAGAAATGCTCAGCTCAGCATAACCAATTGGTGTGGCTTTTGGGGACTTGTATAAAGCCTTGGTAGTGACATTTACAGTGCAGCATTTATGAAAAGGCCAATTTGAGGCAATACTTTTAAATATATGATGAAAATGTCAGAAAACCTGTTTGAAAGAATATTCTTTTAAGGATTTGACAAATAAATGCAGAAATCTACTCCATCCCATCATGTGTACTCATCTAGCTAAGTGCTCAAAATAAAATTCAAAGACACTAGAAATACATTGTATGTAACTTATAGGAAACTTTGAAATGCATCTAGTAACGATTTTAAATATTTTAGATGCTTTTGTTTCCATCATATTGCTTGTTTCTTGCTACCAGTTTGCTGGAGGGGCTCTGATATTGTCTAACTTGGGATTCAGCTAAAATAAATTTTAAAATGCATGAAATTTAAGCAGACTTTTACCTGAATTGGATACTAAATTGGAGTATTGTATGGAAGAACATGTTTGATTAATTTCCGCTTTATATATTAAAGATGGTTCTAGATCCTTATGAAATATGTGGACTACTGGCCTTTGTAGTTATCCTTTCTCTTGGCTTTTTTTTTTTCTTGTTTTAATGTTCACTGTGAGGAAAGGAGTTTCTTTTGAAATTTTCTGCTCCCAGGCTTCCATTGGAAAATCCTTTCATAATGCGATGGTGGAATCCTGCCACCTAGTGAAAATTTCAAACATCAAGACTGAAACATAAAACAGAAGGTGAAAAGCAAAATGTTTAGAATGGGAAATTTTCTCAGAGACCTCTGGTTCAACCTGTGGATTTTAGATAAGGAAAGAGCCCAGAGAGTTTAAGTAACTGTCCTCTGCTTCAAACTAGCAGCGATTGAAGAATCCGGAAAGGTGGTTTCATTGTGTTGCTTTAGGAGTCCATGGCAGGAAACGTCAGACAAAACAGTGATGTCTAATTCGGAGTATGCAGAATTCATAAGACTGAACTAGATTTGCTCTGGGTCTAGAATAGCAGCTGGCTGGCTCCAGTTTCTGAGATTTGGGTTCTAATTCCAGCTCTGATCTAACTTGTAGCCGGGCCTGTGACAAATCTCTCACCCTTCCTGAGTCATCCCTTGTGGGGTGGTGTGTGTGTGCGTGTGTGTGTGTGTGTGTGTGTGTGTGTGTGTGTGTGTGTAGAGGGAGAAAGGGATAAACATTTTGAGTGAGGTAGGAAAGGAGAGAAGTAAAAAGGAAATTGTACTCTACAATCAGTGAGATTCTATATTGCTAGAGTATTTTACTGTCCTAATAGTATACAGCTTTAGAATCACTTGCCTACCAGTTAAAATGTGGAGACAAAGGTGGCTGGATGCTCTTATTCCCTAATAGTTCTTTTGTGGCCAGACCTTAAGAATAGGGTGGGTATTGGGTTTCTCCTGAGTCCTCAATGTGCTTATTGCAAAGTTGGAACTATTATGTGGTGATTTTTTTTTTTTTAAGAACTAAAGCTAATAGCTAGTGAAGGGTGCTTTGTGAGCATTTCTTTGCTGATGACATCTTTATCAACAGGATTCAGAGAGGCTATTATGTGTGTGAGTGTCAAAAATTTCAATCCTGCTCTTCCACCCAAATCAACTTTCCTAAAATACCCTGGAAATATATTTGCAGTTTTTTAAAAAAATTATTAAAGTATTTGGATGTTTGCTTTAATTTTCTAGTTTGTGATAGTATAATTGATGGTTAATTCTAAAAGATCATTATGAAGGCATCTGGATGTTTGCCTTAATTTGTGTGTGTGTGTGTGTGTGTGAGAGAGAGAGAGAGAGAGAGAGAGAGAGAGATACACTACAGTTTACAGTCTAGTTTTCCCCATATGTAAAAAGTGACTGGAGAGCCTTCTAAAGAAGATAAAATTTCTAAGTTACTATGGCAATGCCAACTTTTGTTGGTCTATTTTTTTCCCCTTAATTCAAACTTACATTTAATTTCTTATACTAGCATTATTTGTTCAAGAAAACCCTTGGAGCAAAGTGCTTGTCACTTTCTATGTTATCAAGTCCATGGCCTCACTGGGATCACTGTTTTACATTTAAAACATCGAGTCAACTCAATTCTAGTAATGGTCCCTCAGCTCAAGGTGAAGTGAACGTTGCATAGCATAGACTTCCTCCTCTTCCAAGGTGATGCTTATGAGGGCCACGTTACCTCCAAGAAGGAGGATGGAGAGGGACAGGGCAGAAAGGCTGGGGGGGATGGTTGCTAGCAAACACAGTGCTCACAGTTTTGAAGAACATGCAGAGGATGAACTTGGGAATTAAAGAAAATATATATTAACAAAGAAAAGGAAATTTCAGACAGTGCTAGCATAATGCCCCCTTAAAAGGGGAATGCTACAAAGCAGTTCTGTAGGTAACAACAAATTTTTGGCTTATTATAAAATATCTAGTGTTCAGGTTTTTTGTGATTCTGTATAGAATGAAAATTGAACAAGCTGAAATAGGGGAAAAAACCCTAGTCTAATATTATTAACAATGATTAGAAATTGAGTAGCTTTATAATTCCCAGTAAATATCCTTCCAATGACACAGTTAGTCACTTTTGAGAGATGCTCAAACATTTTTAGTATTTGGCTGGCTGATTGAACTGTAGGCAAACTCCAACTTTTAAAGACCACTAACAGAAATATTAATAATCAAACTTTTCATTGACATTGAAGCTCAAGGCCATAAAATTTGGTTTTGTTTTCAAGAATAAATTGAATTTTTAAAAGATCCAAATAATGGGTAACTGTTGCTTGGTTTTTGAATGCTTATATATCTTTTAATTTATGTTCTAAATACATGTGATAGAAAGCAGACATTTCTAATACAGAGTCATAAGACAATATTCTGTAAAGTATATTTCCAGGAGATCATTCATAGAAACAAATTTATTGAAGCATATTTACAACTGTATGTGTGCAAATATTCTTAGAAAAACTATGTCAGCACTTTTACTTTATAAAACTCCTTTTTTGAACATGTGCTTACATGGCTATGCCTCTGGACAGATCACTTTGGAAAATCTTCATATAAAGAAGTGGGGAGAAATTTTTGTTTTACAAACAAATCTTATGAACAATTCAGTAATAACTCACATTTTGAAAATAATGAACAAAGAAATGTTCACACTGTATCCTTTATATGTTTGAATGTTTAGAAGTTTAAGCTTTCTTCAAAACATGTAGACCGCTATGGTATTTATCATTCTCTTATTGAAATTCTTCCTTTCTTTCTCTTTCTTTCTTTCTTTTTTCTTTCTTTCTTTCTTTCTTTCTTTCTTTCTTTCTTTCTTTCTTTCTTTCTTTCCTTCTTTCTTTCTTTCTTTAAAGAGGGAGAGAGGAAGAGGGGTGGGGGAAGGGGCAGAGGAAGAAAGAGAGAATCTTAAGCAGGCTCTGTGCCCAGTGTGGAGCCTGATTCAGGGCTCGATCTCACAACTCTGAGATCATGAGCTGAGCTAAAATCAAGAGTTGGTCACTTAACCTACTGAGCCACCCAGGTGCCTCTGAATTTCAATTCAAAGTTTCAAGTAACTTTTATTAAAATTGACACGACAAATTACAGTCATGTATTTTATCAAGTGGATTTAATGATTCTGTATGTCCTCTCTTTAAAACTTTAAATAAAGATGTGTTAGTCAAGCACAATCAAATAACATAGTCTTATCCATTATTACCATCAGTGAGGTCTCTAAAATGTTTCAAATAAAATAATTCCAGAAACATAGTTATTTCTAAAGGGAAAAAAAGAAATATTTTAATGTGTTCGAATATGTGTATTTGAGGATAAATGCTCCTTACTACATATGGAAAGCTAGTAACACCTTTATTAGGAGATATGATGGATCACTTCATTTTTTATTGAGTTTTTGAGCACTTTCTAGAAATTCTAAAAACAGGTATGCTTATAGAAGTCAGTACGCACTAGGTAAATCTGTTAAGCATATGTTATTTTAAATCTTTGTTTTGGAATTGTGTGTTTTAAGACAGATCACTGTTTGTTGAAAGACAGTAGCTAAGATAATGACTCTGCATGAACTTTACCATTGTTGGGACATGGCACATATGTAGCTTGCATTTATCAAGCTCTTTTCAGAAAAATATTCTTTGCAGTATTTTCTTTGAAGGTGTTTTTTCTTCAAATGACCCCCATAACCTAAGAAGTAGTTTGAAAAATATGCTCATTTTAGAGATGAAGAAATTCAGGCACAGAAAGTCTAAGTTACTTGCCAAATGTTAAGCTGTAAAAAAATGGTGGCATTTGATTGCAAATCTGATTTCTCCTTCTGAATTGGTAGAAACAGGTGCCTGAGAGAATAAAGGGAGTCTAAGATGGTCCCCAAAAGGAAGCATATAAAAAATAGCATGCTCTTCATCCAAATGTGATTTAATTGGCCAAGAGATCCCCAGGTATCAAGATTTATAAACACCCCGAAAGCAATTCAGATGTGTGGTCAAGATTCAGAACCAGTGCTGTAGAAAGTTGAGGCCAGAAATGTCACCACAGGGCTTCCTGAAGGGTGGCGTGATATGTTCTTCTAGCACATCCCCACTGCCTCTTTCCCAGTTGATGTAAGAGGAGGACCAGAGAGACGCAAGAATTGTCTGAGTCCTTAGCA